CATTTTGCAGTAAATAAATTTTTTATAAAGTAGCGTTACTACCGTTGGCGGGAAACGAACCGTAATTTGCCTTACAATGAGCGACGTAAATATAATAATTTATTAACTGTTAACTAATTTTTGGGAGATGTTTGTTTTATTTTCTCGCGCACTTTTACTAGTTATATATACAATACATGATTTAGCCATACCTCTGAAGATACAGAAGATATCGAAATACAAAAGATACAAAAGATACAATTGCATGTTATATAACCAGTTCTTGTGCCGTTTCTGCTTGCCACTTACGTCACACCAATTCCCCACTATATTTGCAAATACCGTACTGCAATGTATTGTATATTATTAGGGAGAGTCATTCTCGCAAACCTGCACTAGATAATCACGAGACGAGGATCGGGTCCAAGAAAAACAAGGCTAGTTACTGTATTATGAATTGATCATGAACTGGTGCCAATTCATAAATACTGGATTCAAGTGTTATTAATTCTTTAAAAACGTAGTTTGTGTTTTCGTTTTTAAGAATCTCTATTTGTCTAAAGAAATAAGCATTTTTTCAATAACAATTTTTTAGTATTACCTCGTCAATGAAAAGAATTTCTGATTTTAAGAAAACTTTCTTATATCGATTTTGCAACTATTCAAATCGTTTACTTATTTTTTAAAGATTAAAAATTTATTATATTTGTGCATTTAGATTCCACACTAAAATTATGGCAAAAATTTAATATCATGTATGATACAAAGTAATACAGAGACGCCAAGTGTTTTCGCCATAGGTTATGAGATGACTAAAAATCGTTTCTATCAACACGGATAACAAAATTAGTCGCGTTGTGTTTCCTTTGACAAAGTAATATCGTATACAGTAGGATTATAAGGCATCATGTTTCAAATGCTATGCAACATACAGTAAATTTGGTATGCGTTGAGGGTATTACATCATTTTCTATTCATAAGACCATTTTGGAAACACTTTTATTTACCATGCCTTTTTTGGAAGGCACCTCAATATGATAACTTGCAGGAAAAAAATTATACAATACTTCATTGTTGCAAAAGATAATATTGAAATAATACAACCTTCTATCTCTTCGATTGTTACAGTATAACAGTTAGTACGATCAGCAAATCAAGCTATTAAACATGTGACCTTGAACAATTTTGCATTTCAGTCGGAATCCACCTACATATACGGTACAGTATTTCCACGTGACGTCGAGAAGCTTATCTAAAGACACGAAAAAACTCTAAGCCAAACAAAAAATGTCGAGCTACAGGTTCATAATCTTATTCTTGTGATCTATTGTTATATGGTCGTAGAAGTTACCTACAGTACGTGATGTTTCCATTTATAGATTCCTACCAAAAATTGACACTACAATTCCCAATAATTTTGTTTGAATAAAAATTTCCCGTTGACATTAAGCAATGAATTTAATTTATTTGATTATTGATACAATATATATGTGACTTTAAACACTCTCAAAATGTTCGAATGGATTCTACCATTTTAATTAGTTTGAATCTTAAAGGTACTCTAGATACCAATTCCAGGTTAGGAATATATAGTGTAGCCACTTATGCTTCTACAATGATAAACGCTAGAGTGAACCTTTATCAAGGAAGAGAAACCCGGGTTGTCACTGTCGGTGCTGGAACATATAAATTGTATATAATAAATGAATATACTAGGAATACTGTATATTCTGATGTTTTTGTAGTAGTTCGGCAACAATCCAGATAACATAACCATACGATTGATTTTCGAACAAGTGATTATCTAATTTTTATATTTTATAATATTTTACATAAATATCTAATATTATCCATAGCATTTTGTTCAATAATTGGTATTATTATTATTTTCGCTATAGCTAGAATTTACAAAGCGAAAAACAGATCAATATTTTTTATATTATACATGTTGGCGTATGTTCTTCCTCCGTCAGCTGTTGTAATATGCTTTTACCATAGCCCTAAAGAAAATTATATTTAATTTATGTGATACACTCTCTTACGTTCCTGGTGTACTACATGCCCTATATTGGGTAGTTATTACTTTTGCTAATAAACGTACTGTAATACGTTCCACTAATCCCGAACAATTTTATCAGGAATCAATGTATTTTTTATTAACCGATTCTTCTTTATTTCAATGCTTTTATTAATTTCCTGTATATTATTCTCTTACTCTTTTTATATTTTTTATTTAATAAGCTAATTAAAGTGCACTCATGAATTTTCCATTTTTCATACATTATATAATCCCATTTCATACTTCATTTGGTCTTATTTTTATTTACATTGAATAAATTTGCTACAAAGATGTTGTTCCTAACTTATATAACAACGTTGTATCAGAAGAAAGCATGGAAAAAATGTGTCCCTTATTCTATTGAAGGTAATTCAATTCAACACATTACTGTATTTATTTGTATTAAAAAAAATCGAATCATTTTTGATTTAAAGATTTGTCAACCTGAAAAAAAATTTTTATACTACTTTCAATTTTCCATTTATTATAAAAGGTAAATTCTGCAGGAGGCGTTTTAGACTTTGATCAACTCGACTATTATACCTTATTCTCTGTAAATAACTTGATTTATTAGGGATGTTAATAGAGCTGCATGATCTGATGTCCCTCCAGAGTCTAAGCCAACAAAATAATTTGCTTCAAAGTGAATTGCTCTGGTTACTCCTGAATAATATAACGTGATCAGGGATGGAAAATGGATATATTGAAAAATTAACATTAATAAACCCATTTAATTAATTAAATGATTGAACTTAATCCAATTCCAAAAGATTTTTTTATGTATTTGATATGTAGCCTATAATTATAAAATATATTGATTTTTATTGGTAATAAAATCATCTAAATTATATGAAGTCTCTTATGTATTTATAAAATATCTTGTAAATTTTATTTTGCATATCAATAAATAGATGTTGTATTTGATTTATGCTATCTAATTAAATATCAAAATTATTAACTAATTTTATAATTTCTTCATTTTTATAATAAATTTTGTCTTCTAGCATATCTATCTATTCTGAAATTAAAATTTTCTATTCAATTATAGAAGCTACTGATTGTAAAGTTTATTATTTAAAAAACCTTCAGTATTTGTTGTTGTAATATCATCAGATAAAATAAAAAAATTTTATAATTCAAATTCTTTATTGTTAATTCATCAGTAATCAAAAAATATATTATTATTTGCTAATATTTGTGCATTATATAAATCACAAAGTTGTTATTTACATTATATATTATATAAATATGTGTTAAACTCTAGACTTTTTCTGTTCAAAAAAATAAATTATATATCTTTAATTTATTTTATCATTTTAAATAATACTATTTCATTATTTAAAAAAATTACTCTAATAATAATAATTGATACTATAACTAAAAAAAATACATTGTGTAATATAATATAATTCTTTTAAATATTCTTTTATAAAATTTCAATAATTTAAAATATTATTTCTAAATCATATTTTTAATTATTAAAAATATGAAATTAAATTTATTGCTTTAGTGATTTTATTTAAATTTAACAATTTTTTAAATATTTTATCCATATATAAATTTAATTGATGTATAAAACATGAGAAAAAAATTTTTCATAATATTGAAAATGTAAATTTTTTCTGAATTGTAATAATATAAAAATTAGCTATGAAATTTATCTATAATAGATTTATAAATCATTTATTATTATAAATAGATGATTTATATAATAATTAATTAATTATTTATTTATTATACTTATTTTGTTACAATATTTTTTGATACTGGATTGCTAATTAATTCATTAATTTTAATTTGTTTTTTAATTATAATGTTATATATATATTACTTATATTGATAATTTTTAAATAATATTATTTGTTAAAATAATTTTAATAATTTTTATTATGTAATATTTTCTATTATTAAAAGCTGGTATAATTTCAAGTTCATTATTAATGGTATTATTTGAAATTGTTTTTAAAATTTAGATTATTTTTTTAAGAATTTGATTATTTAACTATTTTTGATTAAATAAAAATATTATTAAATTAATCTATTTGGTTTTTTTACATTTTATTTTTAATCCAATAAAATTATCAATCATATGCTACTGCTGTATCTAATAATAATTTTTTAAATATTTTATTTAATTTGATTTTAATTTGTAATATGTATAATTAAAAAACTTTGATATATAATAAATAATTTATTTAAATTTTTGAAATTTTTTTTATCTTGATTATTATAAATTGTTCAAAAAAATTTTTTTTACAATTGTAAAAATGAATTCGAAAATAATTTATCATAACCATTTTCCATTTATTTTTAATACGGATATATTAACTTAAAATTAATGACTATTACATTACTACTTTAAAAACCCCATCTAAAATACTCACAAATTTTATAAAAAGAATAATAATTTTTTGTTAATTTCTTAATCGAAATGTTGCTTCATAATTGATTATACTGTATTTAGGCATCGTAATTTCCATTTTACTAATAACAAGTTGCGATGAAAGAATTTTTTGTTTCCGATAAACTCTCGTAATGGAAGTTTTTATATCGATTGTATAACTATACTGTAGGTTCTGTATATCATAAGATGCAGGTTAACTTGCACTATTAAATATACTATATGTTTATATACGGTAGTTATTTAATATAACAATTATTGTAAACCGAGGAAATAAAAAGTCAAAATTCATTCATTTTATTTTATTTTATTTTAATAACACCAAAAATGATTGGATTTTATCGTTTATTTTCGAAAATTTAAGCGAAAAGTTTACAAGTTATTGCACAATATCTCATTTAAATTAAATAAAAGAATAGTGAAGAGTTTACTTTAAGAATGCATATGTGCATTTATGGTTTCAAATCAATTAATGTGAAAGATCTTTGTTACTTCACATTACAGTACCATGTCATCACTTCAATCTATAAAAAAAAACCCCTTAGTTATAGCTACTCCAAGTTAACCCATTACAAACGTTGAGGCGCCTTCATTTTCAAATGTACTAGCAGATTCAGCAGCATTATTGGATTGTATATTAAGTGAATTAACGTTGGCAGCCTCGGTACTGCCCACATTCTCGTTAGCCTGCTGAAAATAGAGTGTACGTCTATATTCATTGGGTGGAAGATTTCGTCTGTCAAGATGATCAATGTCGTATTGATTTTCCTTGTCTCGTTTTGCGATAAGAAAGTTGGAAGAAGCTTCGTTATCAAGACTGGAGGCAGATTCAGTGCCCTTCGAGGATTGAAGGCCGAATTGATTATTATTTGCGGATTCAGTGTTAGCAATATTTTCGTTGTTGTTCTGAGAAAATAAAGTCGGCATATGTCCATTGGGTGGAGGATTTTGCATGTCTCGTTTTGCGATAAGGAAGTTGGAAGAAGCTTCATTATCAAGACTGGAGGTTGATTCAGTGCCCTTTGAGGATTGAAGGCCGAATTGATTATTATTTGCGGATTCGGTGTTAGCAATATTTTCGTTGTTCTGCTGAGAAATTAAAGTAGGAATATGTCCATTAGATGGAAGATTTCGCCTAGCAAATTGATCAATGTCATGTCGATTTTCATCGTCTCGTTTTGTGATAAAGAAATTGGAAGATGCTTCGTTATCAAGGCTAGAGGCTGATTCAGTGCCCTTTGAGGATTGAAGGCCGAATTGATTATTATTTGCGGATTCGGTGTTAGCAATATTTTCGTTGT